GAAACACTGTGGTAAAATAATGTTCTGAAAGCATTACTGAACGCTAGTTGAAAAGCAAAGCAAATGAAAAAGATGTTTTTTCTTAGTTATGACCAGGAATTGCGGTTATATTTTCGTCACTGGAACGGCTATTTCAACTAAAAAGTATCAGCTTTTATGAAAGGATTTCAAAGCAAACAAATATTTGCGATAAAAGTGGAGGCGTCTGACATAATAATAAGCGAAACGAACAAGAAGTGGTATTCTCCCTTTTACTGCTTGCAACGTTGTATTGAAACTGATTGGTAAGTAAAGGAAGGGTTTTTGGGCCTGGTCATGTTGATGTTTGTGGAAGGATATTCTTCGGCTGGCGATGTCATTAACATGCCATTACCTGCGGCACCAATAGTTTCATGGGAGCTCGCCTTGTTTTAGGAGCTGGGCTCTCGACCCCAGAACAGCTTCGTCGCGGCATTAGCTGCGTTATATCGTCTGCAGCTCCTTGCCATCTCAGCGCTCACGGATGCTCCACCAGGCCCTTCTTACGAATGTACAGACGCGGGCACACCAGATATTAATGGTCGGGCGTATTTTAGCTGACAAGTTCGGGCTAACTTTTCGAAGCATCTCGGATGCTCATTGATCGAGCTGCTGCCACTCCGACGAGATCAGGACACTCCGGATTGTCCGAACCTTTCAAAACCACCTGAACGCCGGCAGTACAAGGCCCTCACCCGACTCGTCCATTATATATGTGACCCAAATAGTTTCAAAGTGTCTGATAATTCACTCTGCGAATTTTCCTGGGTAGTCGCTGCCCGGTAGCAGTTTCCTGTCTCGCAGTGTCCGATGCCGCCGATGTCCCCTTCGCCTGCTTCCGCTGCAGCTGAGGTAACGTCACACCCGTGTACCCGTTTCTTCCGCACATGCGCAACTAACCAGGCATGTATTGCTCCAGATTCACTCACCATTTTCCGGTGAACGTGGGCAGCCGGGCGGGGGCGGGGGCAGCGGCGGGGAAGGGGCAGCTTCAGGGCTGCACGCATCGCCGTTACGACCGCTCCGTGCCCGACAAAATGGGGCCCGCGTACGGCGCGGCCGCCAACGCGGTCAGTCGTAACGGAGACACGGCCTCAGGTCAGCTGCAGGCCCCATGAATAGCGTGGACCGGACGCCACTCTAGTAAGTCCCACGGCACCAAAAAGCGTGCACGCACGCGCGCAGTGCCGCAGGCTCTGCAATCAGCTCCGTTCATTACAGTCATCTGCGATGGTGTTGCAACCTACGCTCACGCTGTCCCGGGACATGCTTGCGGTCATCGTTGACACTGGTCCGTGAGAGGCTGTTTTGCTTATGTTGACACTGGTCCGTGAGAGGCTGTTTTGCTTATGTTGACCCTGGTCTGTGAGGCAGTTTTGGCAGCTTGTTGATGAGTGCTGTGAACTCACAGGGCGTATGAACTCGCCCGAACTCGCCCTGAGACGTTGTTGCACCACGTGTGAATACTATCTTGTGGGACGCTGTTGTACTATGTGCGAACACTGCCATGTGAGACGCCGTTGTACTGTGTGTGAACGCTGTCATGTGAGACGCTGTCGTACTACGTCTGACCGCTGTCATGTGAGACGTTGTTGTACCGCGTGTGAATACCATCTTGTGGGACGCTGTTGTACCATGTGTGAACGCTGTCATGTGAGACGCTGTCGTACTACGTCTGAACGCTGTCATGTGAGACGTTGTTGTACCACGTGTGAATACTATCTTGTGGGACGCTGTTGTACCATGTGTGAACGCTGTCATGTGAGACGTTGTCGTACTACGTCTGAACGCTGTCATGTGAGACGTTGTTGTACCACGTGTGAATGATATCTTGTGGGACGCTGTTGTACTATGTGTGAACGCTGTCATGTGAGACGCTGTCGTACTACGTCTGAACGCTGTCATATGAGACGTTGTTGTACCACGTGTGAATACTATCTTGTGGGACGCTGTTGTACCATGTGTGAACGCTGTCATGTGAGACGCTGTTGTACCACGTGTGAATACTATCTTGTGGGACGCTGTTGTACCATGTGCGAACGTTGTCCGGGGGGACGTTGCTGCAGTTTGTGTTGAAGTTGCCCCACGAGACCTTGCTCTTATCTGTCGTGATGCTGTTACGTGAGACACTGCTGTTGTCTGTGCCAATGCTGTCGCGGGAGACCGACAAATCAATCAGCACCGACGCTGCTCCGGTGGGAAACTAGAACGCCACGGAGCATCCGTTCGGAGACCAGCTGCCTGACCATCTTTACGTGCCGGTCCACTGCGGCACGAGCTCCCGACACCGCATCCTTGTGAAGCTCTGCAGATGCTAATCCCAGGTCTGCTGGTCGCGTGAAGCGCTGTTCAATGTGATCCGCTTTGCCGGGGGCTGGAGGCGCTGAAGCGTTGCAGTTGGGATGGTCAAAATTACCACATTTTCAAGCGAGGCCCAATGTCCCCGGGAATTAAACCCACTTCCCTTTTGAAGTTGGGTGCTGACGGCAAAGTTGTTGAAGGGATAGGAGAAACTGCAGTCGTTTCAACTGAATATACAGTTACACCCGCGAACTGCGAACAGGCTGGTTCCTTGCGACTCCGAAGACTTTAATGCCTGATAGTTACTGGTCCCGCGATGTACTGTAGACTCACACGCCGCATGTACCGTTTACGTGGGACACTAGGTTCCGATATTCCATCAAGTGACCCGAGCAAGGTCCAAAAACGGCCGGTGATGGATCCGATGGTCCTGCTGCGCCGATGATGGATCCTACGGTTCTGCTCCACCGATGATGGATCCGATGGTTCTGCTGCGCCGATGATGGATCCGATGGTCCTGCTGCGCCGATGATAGATCCTATGCCGGCCGTCGCCCTTTGCCGACGCGATCTGCTGCAGGCCGTAGCCCTCCACCGATGGTCCTGCTGCAGACCGCAGCCCTTTACCCATGGTCCTGCTGCAGACCGCAGCCCTTCACCCATGGTCCTGCTGCAGACCGTAGCCCTTTACCCATGGTCCTGCTCCAGACCGCAGCCCTTCACCCATGGTCCTGCTGCAGACCGTAGCCCTTCACCCATGGTCCTGCTGCAGACCGCAGATCTTCACCCATGGTCCTGCTGCAGACCGCAGCTCTTCACCCATGGTCCTGCTGCAGACCGCAGATCTTCACCCATGGTCCTGCTGCAGACCGCAGCCCTTTACCCATGGTCCTACTCCAGACCGCAGCCCTTCACCCATGGTCCTGCTGCAGACCGTAGCCCTTCACCCATGGTCCTGCTGCAGACCGCAGATCTTCACCCATGGTCCTGCTGCAGACCGCAGCTCTTCACCCATGGTCCTGCTGCAGACCGTAGCCCTTCACCCATGGTCCTGCTGCAGACCGCAGATCTTCACCCATGGTCCTGCTGCAGACCGTAGCCCTTCACCCATGGTCCTGCTGCAGACCGCAGATCTTCACCCATGGTCCTGCTGCAGACCGCAGCTCTTCACCCATGGTCCTGCTGTAGACCGCAGCTCTTCACCCATGGTCCTGCTGCAGACCGTAGCCCTTCACCCATGGTCCTGCTGCAGACCGCAGATCTTCACCCATGGTCCTGCTGCAGACCGCAGCTCTTCACCCATGGTCCTGCTGCAGACCGCAGCTCTTCACCCATGGTCCTGCTGCAGACCGCAGCTCTTCACCCATGGTCCTGCTCCAGACCGCAGATCTTCACCCATGGTCCTGCTGGAGACTGCAGCCCTTCACCCATGGTCCTGCTGCAGACCGTAGCCCTTCACCCATGGTCCTGCTGCAGACCGCAGCCCTTCACCCATGGTCCTGCTGGAGACCGCAGTCCTTTACCCATGGTCCTGCTGGAGACTGCAGCCCTTCACCCATGGTCCTGTTGGAGACCGCAGCCCTTTCCCCGATACTATTTGACGCCGTCGAGAGACCAGGCCGTCGGATGAATCCATTTGTAATAGTTCTGCGAGAACCTGTCAAACCCAGCCGGGCTGTGACGCCGGGCCGGACAACCCAGCTGCCCATTATGCTCCACTGTAACAGCGACCCACCAGAACGGCATGGCGTATAGTGAGCTGTTTCGAAGGCGTGCTGTCTTGCCAACGTCTGCTATGTCACATTTCGTTACAAGCCATGAAAATGCAGAGTGAAATGGGGGACACCACGCAAAAGTTCAGCGCTCATTGTTTCGAAACATGTGGCCCATTTGGAAATTCATGGGGAGCACCTGAAGGTTGTTTTGTGATAGTTATACCGTGCCGTAATTGTCCTCTTTGCCGCAACAGCGTCGCTCATTTCATTTTCACGGTTCATGTACTTAAACAACTGATATCTTAGGTCGATAGCAGCTGAGATCTTTAGAAGCTACACTGCTCTAAGACTCCCGCGCTGCGTCAGACTCTGTGCGATGCCACAAACTGGTTAGTGCCACTTTATCACCAGGTCAAGAGTAGAGCATGGTGCAATTTTAGTGACACATGATGAAGCCCGAGGTGTCATAAACTGCGTTTTTGTCTGACCTTTGCATTGTCTCGGTATTACCCGAACACTCGCAGAAAGCCCGCGGCGCCTTTTTACTAGCCACAACATGCAGCATGAGCACAAAGCAGCACCATATCCGGCATGAGCTCAACAGCCAGAGCTGAGCCGGGAGTAGGAGGTTTGTAGACTTTGACAGGCTGCGCTATGTGATAATAGGTTTGCTGGATCGCCTACCATTTCCCTGTTCCTTGATGTTCATGACACAACCTTTCGAGCTGCTTTCTCTATCTAAGCTCTGTAGGTGTTGTAATCGTTGGGGCGTTACGGCGCGCCCAGTAGCTAAGGCTTGGTGCCGTCGCCTGCCGCTCTGCCTGGCAGGAAGGGCTGGCACCGCGTACAATCGAATCCTGTATCTTTGACTTTCCAGATGTGCAGCCGAACCAAAACGCTACTGAGCCCTTTATGTGCACGTTGTGTAGCTCTGCGCCAAATGAGTATATAAAACACTTTCTTCCAGGAACTCCTCAAGAAAAATGGTGATAATGAAGACCTGTTGCTGCGATTTCTTCACTGTTCGAACTGGCAGCTTCTGTGCGGCCTTTTTTGGATCGGTAAGCTAACCAGGCGCCATCTGGGGCATTTCGGCGACTGATTCCGCGTGTAACGCGGCTTATTCGTGACGTCAGGCTCAAGAAATAACAAACTGTTGACGAACCCGACACCGGTTGAATCCTTACACTGTGACCGAAAGCCCACCGATTTGGGTCCGAGATAAAGTTTCACCGTTTTCTAAAACGCTGAGTAGCGGTTTTCTCCACGATTTTGTTCGCTCAACCACCTCCTCCATGAAGAGCGCTCTCGTCAGTGTATTCGCCACGCTAATGCGAGACCCATGGAAGAGCCCAGATGAGGATAACCGGACGCTGACCCCCCCCCCCCCCCCCCACCCCATTGAAGGTACATCGCAAACGTTTTGCGACCCGATTCCTGGGCTATCAGCAGCAGGACGCACAAGAGTTCCTCAGATACCTGCAGGAGGGCTTGCAAGGGGCCTGAACCATGTCGACAACCACCCCAAACCCAAACCCACCCACATCGATAAAAGCCTCAGTGCTAGCCAGAAACCGCTGGAGGCCTGGAAGCGTTTCCTGTTCCTGAAGAGCTCGAAGTTTGTTGACCTGTTTGTCGGACAGCTCAAGTCCACGCTGCGGTGCATGGTGTGCGGCCACGAATCCGCGGCTTTTGACCCCTTCTGGGACCGTACTTGTAAGGCTGCTTTGACTTCTTTGCCAATGAAGAGATGCTTGACGGAGAATAAAATCCGATGTGCTCTATGTGCCAGAAGCTGCCAAAAGTCCTCGAAAAGTTCCAAGATTCTGCGGTTTCCACGCATTTATGCAGTACACCTGAAGCGGATTTTGCTGCAGCTGGATCAGAACCAGCACGAGCTCAATACCAGAGTGGACTTCTCCGGCAGTGGCCAGGACCTGCCGCCGTCATCTGCTGTATCGAGAGACTGGACCTGTAAGCTGAGTGGCGTGACAGCGTTCTGGCGCGGCGCACTCGGCTCAATACACGGCCCACTGTGAACACTCTTATTTGGGAGTGTGGCAACAACTCTAGAGTCCGGCCCACCCACATACACCGCGCCAACAGCTGCGAAGCGCAGTGCTATTTTTTTTTAGCTGGCCAGCCTTGACCTGGGGCCGACCGGAGCGCCAGTACTCGAAGAAGTTCGAGATGGCTGTCCCCCGTAGAAGAAGTTTGTAAAACAAACATACCTTACGTAAGTTGTTAAGTGCATTTGCGAGGAGCATTGTTCACATAGATAAGACAGTAGTAACGGCCTTATTCATCGGTAGAAGAACCAGGAGAATGGAGATATAGACATTAATAGTTCGGCAACATGCCTTTATGAAAACGAATAGCATAAGTGAATTAAGAAAAAAATATTCGCTTCTGCCATTCGTTTCGATAAAGGCATATCGCCGAAATATCAATGCATCTATATCTCCATTCTCCCGGTTTTCTCCAAGGAATGAAGCTATTACTACTGTTTTATAAGCATATCTTGTTACATTTGCTTTACCGGTCTTGCTTCAAGCTGCTTTTATGTGATGACATAGCGTGAGCCCGTAAAAATTCAGTTTAATGGCTTAATTGCACGCTTAACATGCTTGACAAAATGGAAGTTTTCATTGACCATGCATGGCTTAGCTCATTTATTTCCTGTCCATTACATGGTGTGGACACCACCACAACTTCGTCCGCATTACCCCTCGCTCATAAAATGAATAATGACACAAAAAACATATAGCAAACCACAAAATTGGGTAGGGGCAAGAACCTCAAGGGTTTTGGCACCAAACGTAATAGAATACACTTAAAGCAAGCTAAACGCAAACACTGGATCATTTTGCATGCTGAAGAAGAGTAGTAAGTGCTTTATAGCATATCACACAGCAGTTTTATTGAGATGCACTTAAGTTTCTTGGGTAAAATCACAAATATTTATCATTATAGTTACCACAAGCCCATTCCACGACAAATCGACGGGTGAGGTGGCCAAAATAAGACCCCCATATTTTTTCGCTGGAAGTGTCAGTTTGGGTTGGTGTCATATCCCGGATTTAGCTGTGCCATTTTTGAAAAAAAGTAAATAGAGCAACGGCTGAGGAGTTATAGTCGCGGGCTCTTTTAGGAGGTCAACTATCATTGGCGACTTTTGAAGTCAATAACTCAAATCAGCTGATTTTAATTGCACAAAACTACATATTACTAAGCTCGTTATAATCCAATGCATCTTTAGCTATTTTTCAATTTGTTTGTTGGCTCAATTTTGAAAACCATGGCCTCGTGATGTGAAATCACGCTACCTATTTTCAACATTTTGGCGTTCACAATGCTACTTTTCCAAAAGCAGAAATCAACCACAGCAATGAGTTCTCTACCAAAAGTAACTCAAAACCGTGCGTTTTTTCTGAGAGGTCCAATTTTCGTTATATATATATATATATATATATATATATATATATATATATATGCATACATGTAATATATATGTATATGTGTATATACATTGTGCGTGCGTGCGTGCGTGCGTGCGTGTGTACGTGCGTGCGTGCTTGCGTACGTGTGTGTAATGTGTTAAATAGCTGACAGTTTTGAAGGAGGACTAAAAGTTGTATGAGGATAAAAATATAAATGATTTGCACCATGCAATGCATTTGCATGCTCATATCTGTCACTCAACATATACGGCCGCATGCACAAACGCGTAAGCTGCACACGCAGCGAATCACATATCATGAGTCGTTGGCAATAGCGTGGTATAACGATCTGACTTGAAAGCGTTATACAACACAACGACTTAATGCAGCAATAACATGATTCGCTCACCTGCCAGCCAGCTCATGCGACATGCCGACCCACTCGCCCTGACATTTGGTGTTGGCACGCTCACGGGCGCGTATTACCGCCCCATCGTTATCACACGTCACGCGTCAGTGGACAGAAGGTGACCCCTCAGCGTCGTCCGTGTCACTGGTGAGAACTTGCGAAGGTCGAGAATGTGCAGCGTTATGAAACATGCACCATCGACATGTAACTTACGCTTACTCTGTGGCGTCGTGTAACTAGACCTCCGGGCAGACCGCATGCCGGTACCTCGGCATAAAAGCTCACAATACCGAACAACCGGGAGCTGTAAGTCATTCTTTGTCGGGTCTTATATCAAACATCGTGCGCCTTATTGGCTCTAGTCGAGACGATATTGGTGATCTCGTCGTATGGCGCCGCCGAAAGTTGCGCGGAAAAGACGTGAATGCCAATGCAAGTTTGTCCCCGATGCCCATCATAACCCAACGCCGTCTTCTGAACGCGCGCATGCATGGGAAGGGGCAGCCAATATGTCCGCTCGGCGTATTGCTATGGTTTGCTATGGTACCGCTATACTTCAAATGGAAATTACACAGCAGATGAGTGGACCGAACAGCTCCCCAAAGTCCACCAGTCAGCGGTGCATTCGTTGAAGACGCTCGGTCCGCGCGCGCGGCTCCCAGTGTCGTGTCCCCGGGGCCCTTCGGAGAGTCGACTCGCTGACGTGCTCGTGGCCGGACGACCGCGTCCAGCAGGGGCGACGGCTCACCGACGGGCTTGTAGCCGCTGTCCTGTCCGACGCTTTGGTCGTGTATCCGACCCCCTCCCTCCTTTCGCCGAGAAACTGATAGTCGCAGTGTTTTCGATGAAGGGAACGACGGGTGCACCGTAGCCTGGGAGAAACCATCGTGATAGTTATATAGTTTTGCGAGTACTTGTAGGAGGGGGGGGGGGGGGGGGGTTGCTCCATGCACCACTTATTCTGGTTTTTATAACCTTCTAACGGTGAACAAGTCAACAACTAACGTAACCACCTCAGTGACCAGAGCTTTGTTACTTTATTTGTTTCGTGTTGACGCAATTTTTTCCTTTCTTGTAGCCCAGCAGCCACAAACCAAGCAATGTAAGGTACAGACTCATGGTGGGTGGAATCATAATCGCAGCGTCGTAAATTCTCTACAGTCTGGAAGAATGCGATCAGCATCGGGCTTCAGCATAGACATATTTCAAAACATCATAATATTGGTTCGCTCGAAGACGGGGTCTCAAGAGTGCACGCCACCCCGTTGATGACGTGCACAATTACGTAAGAGTTGACACGCCACGCCACCCCGTTGCACAACTACATAAAAGTTAACATCAAATTTGCTGAAATCGCCAAGTGCTACCTGCTGGCTGGTATGGTCGAAGCGAAGATAATGGGTGGCGAATGTGAACTGGTGAGAGCAGGTAAGTGTGGAGCAATGAGGTAAAGGTCACTTCCAGCAGAAATATATAAAATGCATAACAAATTGGCCTGCTCGATGACAAAAGTCAAGGATGTACGGTACCTCGTTGATCCGACCTGTAAGTGCGCGAAAGTTCACATCAAATTTGCTGGAATCGCAAAAAGTGGACTGTTGACCAGCATGATCGTGACCAATATAATCCTAAGTTTGATATAAAGCTGTCCGGAACTAACTAATCTCTACCAAGTGGTCTAATTATCCTTGCAGTTGATCTGAACTTTGTGATTGATACTGAGGGAAACATGTTAAACAATATAGACGCATTGGTAGCTCTTAGAAGGGACAGGTTGTAGCATAGCATACCAATGGTGAACAGCTGTGTTATCTGGCGTAATCGGTATCCTTCTTCGGTGCGTCATACACGAACCCCACGTTACATCCTGGATAGATACTGAACTAATATTGTTTGCAGAATGGATCATAATTTGATAACACTAACTTCAAAATAATATTACGGGAGGGTCTCCTAGAAGTTCAGCAATGTGCTCTTGACTGACGATTTATTTTGTTTGAAAGATTCAGGAAGTCATTCCAACTCTTCGATGACTTTTATTTGTCACCGGTGTGCCACCCTGACACAGCGGGTGAGGCTGAAAATATTAGTTTCAGTATTAACACGCTCTTCGGTGAGGGTCAATTTGCGCTCCCCGAAGGTTTTCCCGAAATGGTTTACGAGCAGCGCGGCGCAGCCGCGCCAAATTTTGCGCAGTCGTAAATAATTGAACAACAGATCGTTTGGTATAGAACAATTCAAGATGCAGCCTGTAGGGTCGCTGACTTTCGGCAGGTCAAACTCAGGCCATAGATTCAGGGAAGACAGTTTCTAGAAAATCGTTCAATCTGATGCGATAATAGAACGTTAGACAAAGCTATACATCTCTGAAATAGTTTCCTAGGCAACACAACAGTTAAATGAACAAAGCTCATCGACCTAGTCAGGCATGTAGGTCAAACCGAGGTCAAATCCAATCTGCTTTTCTGCTCTAGAACTTGAAATGGGGGTAGTTTCTGACTGCTCATTTCGAATTTACTGATAACAGGAACCGCGTTATGCATCCTTCATGGACATCTCAATGGTCAAAACAGGCCACTGACATGAAATGACCCTGGTCAGCATTTTGTTTTTAGAAACATACAGCATAGCATAATCTTTGATCCTTATTCAAATGCAACTCAAGGCAGCCTTGCATGATTTTGGTCACCATGGCTTTTCAGGTTCAAACAAGGTCACCGACCTTAAATGAGCACCAGTGACCTTCAGCTTATAACAGGTATCTAGGTTCTAGGTACTCTTTGTGCACCAATCTGGAGTTTGACCGTGTGTAAATTTATTGAACCCGAAAGCCATGACCTAGGGGTGTCAAATCTTGACAATAAGTGAGTTCACATATAAGCCAATACGCCCTTGAATTTGTTGTCTCTAGCTCTCTTATTTTCGGAGAGCTCAGGGGGGATCAAACTGACTCCCAACCTGAGCAAAGGGTATTCAACCGGCCACCCGGGCGCGTGTTGGTAACCAGATCGTTGTTGAAACCTTACTCTGCCATTTGAGACTGCCACAGTATACATGTAGTTGAGTACCGAAAGGAAAGGAATGATAGGAAGGCTAGGAAATAGTTTGATAAGCAGCGTGAGAAAACTTAAAATATATGCAAGCTAGCCATGGTTCTCGGAGCCTTGTAAAAGTTCACGAGGACTAATGTCATTACACAAGACAAGGATTGAAGGCGTTTTGCTGAGGACATCTGCTAAGACGGAGTATTAAGAAACTCCACCACGCTTCTTCCTAAAAAAGCAGACAACGCACGCCAAAGAATCCTTTGTTTCGATGAAGATTGGGAGGATCGTGTGCTGCAACTGGTTTTCTTGCATTGTAAAGTCAGGGTGATGGCCCGAGGCTATCATTTTTAAGACCGCTGCGACAACTGTGTGTATTCTATTGGTCGGTCAAACTGGACGCATACTAGCTCAGCGGTTGCGGGGCTGACGTCGGGAGAGAAAATGACGCGCTTATGGTCGCCTTACATTGAGTGTATTGACTGAGCAGTGTTTGGAGCTGCTATCCCAGAGGATAGTTTATTGTCTTTTAGAGCCTTAAAATCAAGTCAAAATATACTTTTTTGCTTACCGTAATGTTGCTTTATTCTTTTCTCCTGAGAATATCCAAAACAAAACACACAAACACATCGTGTACCCTCTGAGACAACATCTTTTGCAACAATGCGTCAAGCCTGTCGTCATTTGATATCATTTCAGATGTCTCGCTTGATCACCTTTGTACTTATTTCATTAGCTTTTTCCTCCTTAAAACAGGACATAAATCAATTGCATGCTTCAAGTATTGTAGCAGAGAGGACAAAACACATATCCAGGATGCGACGCTGATCGGTGTTGAAAGAGACACAGGTCCTCATGAACTACATACACTGCAGACGAGGCCTTTCACGAAAGCATCACTAAATACCGAGATCAGAAGCTGAAAGACAGTCCCGACAGTTACGTTTGACTAACTGTGTAGGTGGCCGAAGTCGGATCCCGCGCTCTTACTTTTGCACGATCTTTCAACAACAATACAGTGTGAACGATGCTGGCGCTAGACATAACTAGGTCACTCCCCACTCCTGGACGAACAGGACGGTAGGACGGGTATATCAAGTTACAGCTTCCTATGTGCGGAACAAGAGCCAATAAGGTGAAGCGAGTGTCAAGCACAACGGCGTGTTAACCTCAGGTAAACTGGCTTGTATTGAGCGCATGACCTGCGTTCCGATTCGCGCCGTCGACTGTTCGGCCTGTGATGTCTCCATTTTATGCAGGACGAATAGGTCACCAAGTTCTCACTGCGGGCAGGGCTGCTGCTCAGTATTCAGGTTCGTACGCCTGGGAGTTACCACATCAGGTAGGTTGTAACTTCTGTGCAACGAGGGGAAGCGCTTTAAGCTTACAGCGTGCACAATGAAACGGCAGAGTGCCACTCGAGGAACGTAAAGCGTCCAGGCAGAAGTGGGGAGAGACCTGGAATACGGAACGCCAGCGAGCCGAAACTACTGTCTCCTATAACAATGCCATGGTTTTCTTCTCATCGTCACTGAGATGAGAAACGTGCCAGGCCACTTTCATGTCATGAAATTAAGCAATATCGTAGTCTGACATGACTTGGCACTTACGTGGGTCCCAAAGTTACGCACGTTCGCTCTCACCGGACTTGAAATGGCGAAGATGACGGAAGTCACCGACGGCGGAACCGTACTGAGAGCTTTGCAGATATATCGAGTTTGAAATTACCTCCGACGTGACCATAAGTAGCATTGTCTGGCTGGCGCGATCCATGCCAATCACAGTTTGAATAATCGAGGTAGGCTGCTGGGTGACGAGGATACTTGGAGGGGAATAAAATAGCAACCAGCCCGCGCCAGGGGAGGGTACGAAAATAACCTTCCCACGATCGACAGCATATGTGATTGAGCGTAGCCGAAGAGTGAAGAGGTAGTCCAGAAAAAAATATTTGGCATGCACGCAAAATAAGCGTCATTTGTCATTTTTGAGCAAAAATGTATGACACGACCTCGAGAAGGGGGGCACAGATCATAAGCTGTCGAGGTCAGGAGCTTTTAAGCCCTGAGTGTGTGAAAAGAACATCAATTCGGATAAGACGCGATCTCTGCTGAAGCTGACTCCACATGACCCCGACCTCAGGGCTACTTCACCGTCAACCTCCTGGCAAGCTCACTGCAGCGCAGCGAACTGGACGCAGCATTAGCAACAACGCCACCTGATGGGCAGGGATCAGCAGCCGTAGGTGAGAGCGAACTCCGCTATTGCCTTCCCCTGGGGCGGCTCGTGACTCGGTGGGCCGCGGTTGTTCGGCGGTCGGTCAGCGCTACCTCTCTGGCTCCGTCGCACACATTTCAAGTGTATATGACTGCATCACCGTGTGCGCGCTTTTTGTAATGGTTCGTTTTTGTCGTGGCACTTACACAGAGAAGTTGAGGAGAGGCAGTGCATCTTATCTCTCTCTGGCAGCGAGTCGCTGCATTGGTGAAGACTGTGCCAAGATATGCAGTTGCGCTGTTCAAAACCAGGGGGCACAGTTAAAAGTATACAATATTTATGAACGTAAAGTACCCATAAATGACATTCAAAGCATCACAACATGTTGGTCTTGAAAGACAACTGAATATTACTGACGTGGATACGCGACGAATCGTGTTTAACCTTCTTGAACATGTGGTTGTGCCCTTTCCTGCCGCGTTGGGGTGTTCTGGCGCCCCTGCACTGTCGCCAGTGTGTGGATTGTTCTCAACCATGATACCGCTGTTGTCAGGCTCCCTAGTTCTCATGGTGCTCTGCCCAGCCGGACTGGCATCTACAGTGCTCCTCATCGTTGGCCTGGTCAAGGTACGGCTTAAACAGACTCCGCACATCCCCTTAGCCAAAGGTAAGTTTCGGTTGGTTGCATTCAACCCTTTTGTGTCCGGCTACATTCTGTACGGTTATCACGAGAACCAAACCTCCTACAATCTATTTGGGAATCATGCAAGAACCTTCTGAGCTGGGAAAAGCCGCGGCTCAGAGTCGCGTGCACATATAACTGGAGGCGCATGCAAATGGACGTGCACGGTGCATAAGCGTTCACGTCGGTCACATTTCTCGGGCTGAACATACACGGCTGAATGCGAGACCTCAGAGCATGCCGCAGCCCGCTGCTGCTGCACAGAAGGAGGATATACACAGAATGGAGAACGATATACACGGAAAAAGAGGGTATAGACAGAAATGTACGAAGGATATACATGGAAGAACAAATCTGCGCACGGTAGCATTTGCAGGTACAAAGTTTTGCAGGCAAGGGTGCTTGTGCGATAAGATTTGCGTGGGAGGCTGTGCAATACGGAAATTTGCGTATAACGATATGCGATGCCAAGCATTGCACGCAGTGTTTGAGGTGGAAAGAACTGGGGAGCAGATATTTACGTAAGAACTTTTGCATACGAGAAATTCGATACGATGTTTTGTCCAGTCGCCGTCTAGGGACTTCCACAAACGAAACTGGTCATTAGAAGTCGCGCACGAGTAGGGTTGGACCTCAAGGGGCATAGGTAGCGACCTTAACCCAGTTAACATCCACGTTATCTAGGACAGCAGGTGATTAACCTTATGCAGGATTTCTTTAGAATGCTGACACCCATGTTTGGTGGGATCCATTTCCAGATCAATATTTATGTTCAGCTGGATGTCTCGTCGATTTAGCTGAAGCTTAGTTTGGACTAAAAATTCGCATGTACAATGTGTAAAACATCGTGACAATGATACAAGTGTATGTTTGTATTCTGAGAGCTAAGAGCAACGGCTGTGAATGTACAGTTCACCAACGAGGATGCAGAAGTCATGAGAGAGGAGGGCGAGAGAGGGGACGCCGTGGTAGATAGCGGCTTCCCAGCTTCGGCAAGACCTAGCATTCGTCCTTTCAACATGAATTGGTAAGTATTTGGCATTGACACTATAGCTTGGCTCGGTACTTCAGAGATTAGTTCAGAGATTATGACGACCACTGACCGCGTATCGGGCTCCACACGCCTGTCAGACTCCCCCGACTTCGATCAAATCGACACTTGAATAGCCTTTTACATGCTGACTGAAAAGAAGAATGAACAAACTGCGCGTTACGGTGTCACATGATACTGACTTTGATTTGTTCTACAACGACCCTTTTTGAGATTGTCAGAGTTGCTGGAGAAGCCCACGTGTGAACATAGCATATTCGAAGAATATCTAGGGGTTCTGCGTCAGCCATTTGTACTTACCTTGCTGTTTGAAGCAATCCGTTTGCAGCGAGGTGTGTTATCATTGTATTTGTGTGCAGATCATACATGCACATCGATTCCCACATGTACATGAAGGCGCCTAGAAAAAGTGAATAATATCCTCTCTAGGGATGGGAATGGTCATATTCGCCTGTCACCACCCTCACCACAATCTTTTTGTGGGAACAGGCTGTTCTCTGCCCCGGATTTCTGACGCTTGCCATCGGAGGCTCTTTTCAGTCCCATTCACCGACTTGTATCACGTCCTGTCGCCACTCCTGGTCCTTGGCGAATGGGAGATTGTACTGCTGCATCAGCGCGACTTCCTCCTCCCGAGGCTTCGAAATGCTCAACGCCGAGACGCGGCGCTCTGCCGCTACGCGTGCCGCATTGTTCGACCAGACGGCTTGGTCCAACTTGTCCCAACAAACGAAACGTCCTCGCGAGCCACCGGAAACGAAGTTTGTTGCTAAATCCCATGCAAGGGTTGGCTACTGTCATGCACGGTCAAAAATGTACTACCAGACGTTCCATCTGCGGGGTGAGCAGCGGCGGACCGCGATCCGAGGGGCGAGCATCGACCGGCCCGCCCCCGTGGCGCGCGAGCCGTTCAGGCCCTGAAGGCGCCAATGTGGCCGCGGCGCGTAAAAAGGCTATTAATTCCGCGCCAGCCCAGCGGCCTTACGAGTGGTGAAATGTGCTCTCGACGCCGCACACCCGAGGCGACCCAGGCCGCGAAATTTACGATGTTTTGCACCCGGCCGAAATAGCAGGCGGCGGCTCTGCTCCAGGCTGAGAGGCAGGTGGCCGCCGTGGGCGTAGTCGAGACGTTAGGTATCAACGGCGTGGGAAACCAGACGCTAGACGCTAGACAGGCGGGATGGAAGGTCGTTCGTGAAGATGCTGAAGAGGATTGGGCCCACCAGGGACCCCAGAACGACACCGTGAAACACGGGCAGCGATAGTGAACCACCTCTCACCACCTGCCGCCGTCCGTCAATACCAACATTAAAACGAACCAGGATGGTATGGTTTGCTGCCCTTCACTGGAGCTTTTCTGGGGAGAAGTCCAGTACAATGTGATCGGGTGCCTCGTGGCACCCTCTGTCTTTTCGATGGTCGTTATCAATTACTTCAGATTCGTCTCCAGCGGTATGCCGTCATTGCAGAAGGCGAGGTAGTCAGATGTTCACTCAGGTACCAGAGGTGGCGCAGCAGCATAGGAAAAGTGACCTTGGAGATGCCCATTTTCACATGGTCGTAGCCAACCAGCGTCCTGAGCATCACCAGGTCAGTGCAAGGGGCAGCGGCGGAAAGAAACGCGGTGAACGAGGTCGGAATCAAAGCTATGACGGCAGAGTCCACGAAGCGCTGTACTGACCCCGGTATTACGAATCGCAATGGCGATCTGTTGTCCGAACAAGTGAAACTTAATGGTATGGGTCATCGCGACCATCCATCAGGTGCAAAGGAGTGAGCGAATGATTAAACATCGGGACCAGAGGGTGTGCTCACACTGCCGTTAAAATCTTCTTGGCCACCTATTTTTGGACATGGCGCCGGCAAGCCAGGTTCATTCGCTTGCGAAAAAGGCCTGCTCGATGAAGGCGCAGGTGCTCGAGAGGACATTCGTATTAACACGCGCCCGGTGGCCGGCTGCATTCCCTTCGCTCGGGTGGGGGGGGGGGGGGGGGGCAATATGACCACTGAGATCTCGAGAACTATGAGAGCTGGAGACACAGAATTCACAGGCTATGTTGACCTGTACGTGAAATCACATTGGTCATATTTTGAGGTTCCTAGCTCATGACCTTCGCGTCAAATAAGGTCAACCAAGGTCAAATTCCAGGCTGCTCTCCGAAGTGCCCCCAGAACCTAGATAACTGCTTTTAAGCAAAAGGTCGCATGCTCATTCAAGGTTAGTGATCTTGTTTGACCTTTTGAAGGTCATGGTAACCAAAATAATGCAAGACTGCTCCGAGTTTTGCACTTGAAGAAGCGACAAAGATAACGGTAGGCAACATGCTCCTTAAAAAACAAAATGTTAATCTGGGTCATCTTAGGTCAGTGACTTATTCTAACCTCTAAAAATTCTGTGGCAGACGTAAAATACCGTTCCTGCCATCAATAAACTCGAAATGACCACCAGAAACTATCCCATACAGCAAGCCCTAGAGTAATAAAACAGGATGGTTTTGACCTTGGTCTGACCTTTATACCTGACTTGAGCTCAATGCGATTTACTCATTCAATTGTTGTGTTGTCTAAGAAGGCATTTCAGAGATGTATGGCTTCGTCTAGCACTCCGTTGTTGCATCAGATTGAGCGATTCCCTAGGAATTGGCTTCGCTGAAGCCATGGCCTGACTTTGGCCTGTCAGCGACCTTACAAGGTACATCTAATTTTTCCCTAAATTATCCGCTATTCAATTTTCCACAGCTATGCAAAATTTGGCGCGGCTACACCGCGCCATTCGGAAGCCATTCCGGAAAACCCTTCGGGAGAGGGGGGGGGGAGGGGGAGGCAATGCGACCTCCCACCCGAGGGTGGGTTAAAGCCGTGGTGTTAAAGCCGTGGTGTTAAAGCTGCACACGATGACGCAATGTGCGATGCCACAGTCAGCCAACGTGCCCAGCACGGCGTCCGCTCAGATTGACCAGTTACAGCATGCAAGTTCTGCGCAACGGAAAGCTTCTCGATGTCGTTGCTGAATAGGAAGGCAGCGATGTGACCGTCTTGCCATCGAAGTCAGAGACAGTTTTCCCGTCTTGGTAGATGACGAGTGGGATGCTGGGATCGTGCTTCATTTTCATTTCTTCGGAAATTTCCGCTTGATGACTTAAGCATGAGCGCCAACTCGTCCTATGAATGGAAAACACTTCACTTACGTGTTAATCCATACTAGAGGTAGCAACCTGCATGAGAAAAACGGTCACCAGCCGCCATGTTCTTTTGCACAGCGATTCCAAAGGGAAACAGTCTGTAGGTAAGGCGGGGTATAGCCATAGGTATCCAGCTTCCTGGGAGCTTTGTTATGCTTGATGGCTTCAAGTGAGCTCGGTTTGGGATGATATCTTAAAACCTCTGAAAGGGAAATATGGGTTTGGTATATGTGGTTAGGCAACATCAAGTAAGAATGAAAAAATTCACGTAAGGTTTAGAGAAAAATGAGTAAAAAAACGTTCTCATAGGCGAATTGCTTTACATCCAAAGTCGGCAGTTCTAGGGCACTGGTCTTCATAAACAATTTTGATCGCTGAAGTTAAAAAGGGAATGTCTTAGGAAGAACATAAATGTAGCCAACGGAAGGCATACCGTTTGCCATCATCTTCATGTATAATCTATGAATATCGTGGAAAATACGTGTCCTCCGCGGCAGCTAGTGGATCCAAAGTGGGCCAGCTTTACCGTAATCCACCCATTGATCTCGAATTAGGTTTGGTTTGCACGTACACAACCTGCACGAGGTTTAGGACCTGACTCCTTCCAAGAGCCGATGAAGGATTTGTCCGTGTGCCTACTCTGTAGTTGTGAACATTTATGCCGTGTTGTACTTCATACCTCAGCCGTCAGGACAAAAATGTTACATTTAACAAACGGCAACCAAAGTAACAACACACATCTCGCTGGACGAGTTGTGTTATGTTGAGGCGGTGGAGCCTTTGGTACCATTTCCGTCGCATGCATTAAATAGGAGAGAGGCGCCGGGTGGGAGTGCGTGCCATCAATACAGTAGATGTGGAATTGAGTAAGACGCTTCTGAAAAGTTGCCAGTATGTCGCCATGGCATATTGATAGGCGCCGGGGTTTCTGGTTGCTTGGCTCGCGCCCACTGATCTCCGCCACTGAACTTCATCGCGATTCCCAGCCACACAGGGTACCTGCCTCCCGCCGTCCCCGCGCACGCCCAGCTCTGGAAGTTGCGGTTATTGGCCGGGGAGGGGGGAGGGGGGGGGGGGGGGGGTCTGCGGCACGCCTGGCAGCGGGTGCCAGACGGCCAATGGCATAAGGGAAATATCTGTGTCGACTTAGGTTACGACAAAGAGACCTAATGATTAGACACAACTGAAACAACACGTAGGCCTGCCTACCCTATGAATATGGTGTTTCTGGCCTTCCTAGTTTTTGATATCCCGGTGAGGCCGAATTGACCCATTACAACCGAGTGCGCTGTATTCAACCGAGCACCCGAATACCTGTAACTGGTTTAGTACTTAACCTCTGGAGGCTTGGTTACCACCGGACCCATCTTGATGCTTAAGACGCCTTTGGCATGGGAAAGCAGTGGATACTCGCATAATCTTGGCACAGGTCTTTTGGCCACAATGTTTTTTTAAATACATGAATCAAATCGAGAGCAGTTTTCATTGAACCTTAAAATTGTTTTTCGGTTAGCTAGGAATGAAGTAATTCAAGTTAAGAATGGTTATTAAGAATGTAGCAAAAATACATTTAAAACGTTAACAACTAAGATACAAGCTAATAAAAACATAGCCAAAAGGCGTTTAGAAATAATAATTTTGTTTCAAAACATTCAAGTGAATAGCATGTCATGATAGCATAATTTTCATTCACTTATCTTGTTCAACGTGTTGAGCTCAATGGCATATTCTACTCCATTATTTCATGTGTTTCTTTTTGCCTTAACACGCCTGGCTGGTCGGTTGAATACCTTTCGCTCTGGCAAGGAGGTCAACTTGACCCCTGAGACCTCTAAAACTCCATTCTACTCTACTCTGCTGTAAATCTCTCTAGCTCAAAACAGCGAGGTCGCAGGTTATGTTGGCCTGGATGTAAACTCAGGTCAAAATCTGGGGGTCAAATGAGGCCAAATAAGGTCAAACTCCAGACTTGTGTATCACATGCGCCAAGCCTTCTCATACGACAGCCCTAAAGCTAGATACTAGTTAAAAGGGTCCATTAAAGGGTCCTTTAAAGGGTCCATTGAACACGTCTGTTGCGGTCCCTGTCATTAATAACTTCGAATTGAGCACCAGAAACTACCACTTAAACCAAGCTGTCGAGTAAAAAGGCAGGTGAGTTTTGACCTTGGTCTGACAATAATTCCAGATCCTAGATCAAAAGAATTGGTCGTAGCTATAAATTCAATCGGTTTAATGCCTAACAAACTATCTCAGATATGTATGGCTTCGTCTAGCACTCCGCTGTTCAACACATTGAACGATTCTCTAGAAATGCCTTTCGCTGACAGCCATGGCCTGACTTTGGCCTGCCATAGGTAAGTGACCTTACAAAATACATTATTTGTTTGCTACCAGATCCACTATTGAGTCCTCGTCAACTATGCGAAGTTTGGCGTGGTCACGCCGCGCCGTTCAGAAATCGTTTCGGAAAACCTTCGGGGGTCAATTTGAACCCCATACCCGACCGGGTGTTAATGACCAACATCATGTTGTACGAACTCTACAATGTTTGGACCAAAGCATGGACCCGTTTAGAGACCAGTACGCGGTAGCAGCGCTTTCATCTTCAGTACAAACCGTTACGGCCGGGGAAAACGGGGCAAAGTTCCCATATTTAGCTTGTTCGAGATTAATTGGAGGTGAAAAGTTGCGGATTGGAATCACTAGTAGTTGAAACAAACATTTGCACGAACAAAATAATGTAAGAAATGTTACCAAGTGGGAAAGTTCTGTCTCACTTGGAAACGGAGCAGACCAAGGGTACCTGCGGTTATCGCTGGTGCTGATCTTGTTTTTCACAAGAGTGAAAGGACCTCGTTCGCTTTAATATCGTCGAGTTTGAACGTATCTTTGTTCTTGAACAGACATTACATGACACGAGCGAAGGCTCACGGGAGACTGATGCAATGCTCTAGCCGGCGTTACATGACGGGAGCGAAGGCTCAAGGAGGGCTGATGCGATCCTCTAACCGAAGCTACATGACGCGAGCGAAGGCTCACGGAAGACTGATGTGATGGTTTAAGCCTTGCTGCCAGATGAATAGGATTAACGTCTTTGGATGAGAGGTAGACCTGGTACACCCTTGAGAGCTATTCCAATGAGGGTTGAGTGACGGGTGTTGCCCCCACGGTCGGCCTCCCTCCCTGTTCAGTCATGCTGCCTATTGATCGAGCCAATGTGGTGTTCATTCGTTGTACGCTGCCGATCCGTTGGCAGCATGTAGGAATGTTATCGCTCACTTTCAGTGTTTGTCATTGCCTGCTTATTTGCCTCTGTATTATGGAGTGGCATAACCATGTACCCGTGCGTTGGAATGAGTCATGTAAAGGATTGGAAAGTGTGGGAAGAGAACCTAGTGCAGTGCATGACATCACCCCTCGCAAAACATTGTTGAGAAAATAAGGTTGCTCCAAGCACTGAAGCCATCTCATATTCTATCATGTTATCATCGCTGTTCAGTTAACAGTTTTGCTCTAATAGATGATCAATATGAAGCAAACGCTGGGATTTAACTTTTCCGTTTGAACCCAGACGCGCTAGTTTCGCTCGTGTAACTCCATGGCCCCTGCGCGACTGTTCCAGGGGTGTCGGTGGCTGCTCCTTCCACTGGTGGTCGTCCTCTCGGCCACCGTTATCGTCGACTTCGGCACAGTTTCTGCCATCATTTTACAGGACTTGGTGAGCGGAGCAGTAACTCAGCAAGCGGTGAACTGGCTCTCTTAATGCCATGGATATTTTGATGCACGGTCATTGGTCATGCAACACCGTTTGCCTCTGCACTCCCCCGGCCTCTGGACTCCCCCGGCCTCTGTACTCCCCCGGCCTCCGTACTCCCCGGCCTCTGTACTCTCCCGGCCTCTGTACTCCCCCGGTCTCTGTACTCCCCCGGCCTCTGTGCTCCCCGGCCTCTGTACCCTACCGGCCTCTGTACTCTCCCGACCTCTGTACTATACCGGGCTCTGTACTCCCCCGGCCTCTGTACTCCCCGGCCTCTGTACTCCCCTGCCTCTGTACTCTCCCGGCCTCTGTACTCCCCTGCCTCTGTACTCTCCCGGCCTCTGTACTCTCCCGACCTTTGCACTCCCCCGACCTCTGTACTCCCCCGGTCTCTGTACTCACCCGGCCTCTCTACTCTCCCGGCCCCGGCCTCTGTACTACCCCGGCCTCTGTACTCTCCCGGCCTCTGTACTCACCCGGCCTCTGTACTCTCCCGGCCTCTGTACTCTCCCGACCTCTGCACTCCCCCGACCTCTGTACTCCCCCGGTCTCTGTACAGTCCCGACCTCTGTACTCCCCCGGCCTCTGTACTCTCTCGGCCTCTACTCTCCCGGCCCCGGCCTCTGTACTACCCCGGCCTCTGTACTCTCCCGGCCTCTGTACTCACCCGGCCTCTGTACTCTCCCGGCCACCGTACTCTCCCGGCCTCTGTATTCCCTGGCCTCTGTACTCCCCCGGCCTCTGTACTCTCCCGGGACTGTGGATATGATGCATATAGTGGATGGTGATGTATAGCATAGTGTAATGGTCGTCCTGCAATGTTTTGCCATTGTACGGTATTTGGCAAGCAGATAAGCTGCACAACTGTCTGTATCTTAAGGTCAAATAAGGTCACTGACACCTGAAATAGACACTAGTAACATTTCGCTTAGTACAGGTATCCAGGTAAAAGGTGATTGCGTAGGGAGGACATGTTACCCAAGAGTCATAAACTAGGGGCCTCAAAAATTTGACATGCAATACATTTAACATACATTACATACAAGGTCACATACATTACACCGTGCATTTGGTGTCCTAAACTTTTTTAGGTTTTGTGATCTCCGTGTTGACAAACTAACCCCCACTCGAGCGACGTCGCATTCAACTAGCCCCCCAGCCGGGTGTTGACAAGCATAAGCGACAGCTTCACAATTTTACGCGTTTTTGTTAGCAATTCTATGATGTCACCAAAAGTGGTGCTCACACAGCCCCCCGCGGCAAAACGAACTCAAACAGCACCATCCCATGGACAGTTTTCTTATTTCCGCATGCTCCAGTGACAAGCGACCAGCGCCAGTCGAATGCAGCGCGTTGCGTGAGCTGCCGAACAGCTGGTCGGAATTATAAGCCCGTTTCGCCTGCGTCTGGCGGCCGAGTAGTTAAGTAGTTTCAGCGCACCACCTTGCAACGTGCTGACACGGCCGGCTACGCTCCAGGTTTCCCATACGCTCGCGAATTTGACAAAGCGAGACGGGATCGTAACGCGTCTAGATTACGCCTTGTAAGCGATGTGCCGAAAATGACCGATCTTGCGAACAATGTTTATTCCCTTTCTTTGATGAATAAGGAGAATTAATGAATATCAGTAGTTTTTGACTCTTGATTCTGTACAGCGAATCCCCCTAAACTGACATAAGCTGTATCTTTTTACGGAACTTGCCCGACAAATGTGACGCCGCATGTTGATATATCGCCCTATGGTTGCATGTTGCAATCCGGCTGTGTCTGCCGCTCGTATTGAAGAGACCGGCAATAGCCGTTTTCACGTTGGAATAGTGCGCTAAGGAGTTTTCAAAACGTTTTTAAAATATTTCCAGGAAGTTTTAGAGAAACTTAACACTCTGACGAGGAAATTATTGTCCTAAGGCAATTTCATTGGCATAGAATAGCTAAGTCAGTCGTTCCAGCTAGTAACAAGTCCATTGTATGGATAGAGGCTCTTTGCAAACATTTTTCCTTCAGTCCATTCCTGAAGTTCACCCAAATTCTACCAAAATACCGGGCCTGACAAACAGCCGTTTGGACCGGCCGACTGCCGCTCCAGGGCGGTGGATGCCAGCTGTGCCATGCATGTTTGCATTGGTGCTGTTTGGAACATGGCAGGCTTTGAGGGTCATGCAGTTCAAGAATCATCCATCATGTTTTATTTTTAGGTATGTAAGCCCTGTAAGTACGGCATGTCCATGATGAGGGACGCGGCCGGGATACGTGCGTTTGTTTTGTCGCGCCCGCATCAAATACGCCTTCAAATAATTTGAAAATGCTTCGAAAAATTTAGGTATGAAGAAATCTAGCACTATACCTGTCCCTAAAAAATATGATCCTGCTTATCATCATCATCATTTGTTTAACATCCTGCCCAACAACATACAAGAGAAGAACATGCAACCATGTGCATACACACTATACACATCCAATGTATATGGTCGCTTCACCAAATCACACATAAAAGGTGTACTAGTCTTCTGGCCTCTGGATCGGTTCACGTCGAAAATCATCTAAGAGACTCATGCACACCACACTGGGGCGGCACTGGAGAAAGGAGGCAGCTGTCTACCCTCCCGCAGGCCAATTTTTCTAGTCGCCCCCAATGTCGCTCGCAGAGGAGAAATAAAAACGCGAAACCGGCAAAGCTCCCAGCAATGCCACCCAGGCGATTGGCAAGCAAGGCCAGTGCCCTCAAAAAGGTATGGCGCAAGCGATGTGGAGAGCGGAACGGGGTGCGTAACTTTCTAAGCACCGCAGATTGACCGGCCTCGTGCCCTGAACGCCTGCTGCGGTCAAAGCTACTTGCGCGTTCCCAAAAAGAAAAATCGGGCTACGATGGCACTTTACAAGAAAGCTTTTTCGTGTGACGAAACGCAAAGATTCAAACGCCAAAATGGTTTCAAACTTTTACAAAGTTTCATGGAATAATCCATCGTGAAAACGGTTATCATAAACGATAAGTCACTGGAGTAACAAAACACGCGAATACGGAGAGAAGAGCATTTGACATGCCATGGTTGTTGTGAATATGCTTCTTGTATGGTATCCTATCACTCATACTGGCTTTTAACATCTACTCTTTCTGCCTGTTTCAGATCGTGTATCACACAACGGATGTGTTGACCGCATTTCTCTTCCTGGTTGACATATGTGTACTCAGCATCAACGTAAGAATCACTGATTGTGCTGTCCTGCCTTGGTGATATGTCTGTATGGTATCCGTGGTGGGCTTAAAAAGCTAGTTGGGCCGACTCCAGAAATACTTTTGGGCTACACGCAAAAATGTTTACATGTTGCAGACAATGTTTACTACGACATGTTTCCTATTCTGGTCCTTTGGTATCTTTATCTTTGCCAGAAGTATGTTTTTACGTCGTGAGGGTCGTTCAACAGATGACACCAAACAATGCCAAATATACGCTTACCGATACGCTCATTCACTTAAGACAAGTTTAGTAGCCCTTGGTGCATTGCTCAGTGCATTTGCGACGAACATTATTCACATAGATAATACATAAGCAATAACCCTTTTCCGTCGGAGAAAAAAAAAACGGGAGAATGAAAATATAGATGGGTTGATATTTCTGATGAGCTGATATTTATATGGTTTGACGGAATAAGGCTATTGCCACTGTCTAGGCCTTTCGTACGTAATGTTTAATGTCATCAAAAAGGACATTAATTGGTTTAAAGTACATCGCAACGAAAAGTCCCGATAAACCGATAAAGACAATTCGGACAAAACTAGGTCAAAGTGATTCGAAGTTTCAGAAAGACCTTTCGGCCAGGTAGCGTTACATTCTGCCAGCAGTCGGCGCACCGTCCGGCAAGCGGGGTGTGCCCACCGCGGTGATCTGGCGGTTTATCGCGGCGTCGTTGTCACAGATATATGCCGCTTCCAACACGGACCGCAGAACAGCCCATCGGACAGCCTATCGCAGAAACGGAGAGGATGGTGATGTTGACCAATAGTTCCCTACTCAGCTGGATGTTGTGGGCCTCTTTGTGGCGTCAATTCTGGCCTCCTTGCAAATGCATTGGTATGCGTCTGCCATGAGTCGTGGTCTTGTGACCTATGTATGCGTCGTTTTAAGAGTGCGCGGTCGAAGGTAGTGCAGCTAGTTGAGTACGCTATATTAGGTCAATTTAGGTTTGCAATATTAGAAAATGGCCCGTTTTTGTCTTGAGGCTGAACGGGCTGCAGGTTTTGGTCAAGATGTCGCGAATGCTCTTCTCATGTTATACGGAATTTCTCATGTTGCGTACAGTTCTACAGTTGGCAGTGCACGGTAGGGTTGCTTTGTACGTAATCCCATATGGATCAATTCGGCAAATGCATTACATTCACGTTAAGGAACTAAAACGTTTTAACCATCGCTCTGATAGGTAGTCGTTGCGACATTCCTAAGGGTTTTTGAGAACAGCTCTCCAGCATGTCATGCAATAGCGCCCAAATTTTCAATATCCTACGGGACATCCACTGCATGGGTTGTGACATCAAAAACGTGTCCATAGCTTTTTTATTTTGAAGCTGCGATGGCTTCTGAGGAACACCGCACGGCCATGTACGGCCTGTGGACAGAAGCCGACGATAACGTGGAACGGGCGCGGCGGGACGACATCGCTACTTAGCGGAACCATGTATTATGCATTGATGGCCACATAAAACACATGAAGAGATCCATAGTTGCATTCCAAAGTGAACAAGGAACATTTCCCATCGAGTCTTGGGTCGCTACAAGGCGTGGTATGTATGAGATCATATGTATGTATGCATGAGGTATGTATGCATGTATGAGGTCAAAAGGTCAATCGTATGTGCGGTTTTCTGGAAAATCCGACCCTTTACCTGACATAAGGGGCCAGTGTTTGACCTAGCAACACAAAACGCGTTGCCAATGAAGAGGTCTCTTTAAGACTAATCTACTGTTTTTTTTTGCTGCGTTCTGTCTTTACTTGTTTGGAAACAGCAGAGGAAGGTGGCATCTCCACCCCCCCCCCCCCCCCCCCCCACCCCCCCCCCCCCCGCCCCCCCCCCCGCCCCCCCCCCCACCGTTTCTAGCAGTCGGCGTTACGAAAGACGGCGAATCAGGACCAGGATCAATTCCCAATTTGCTGTGTACTGATCCGGTTATGCTGGTTTAGCATCTCATGCGAAGGAGGAACGTTCTCCTGAAGGTAATAAAGTTTCAGTTTCATCAGTCATAACCGAAAATCAGTTTCTTTTTTGATCATGTTAAAAGTTGTGGAGGGCTCTACTCAGCCATTTGTACCCATTCTTTGTGTTCTTCTTTCTCCTTTCTCTGTCTATATTTGCTTGCTGTAATATTTCCGCGACGTTTTGGCTGTAGCATTTAGGTTATGGAGGATGTGCGCTCAGTGGTACAGGCAGGGTTGGGGAAGAGGACACTAGGGTCAAGTGCACCTCCCCCGAACCGACGATTTAGGTCCAATTTGAGGGCCCGAAAGGCGTGACGGAGGAGGTATCACGGATGAGGGACCTACGGCCCTGAAATGCCTAGCTAGAGCGCCCTGCGCCTCGATTGGGAGGCCCCGGATCGGTTAGGTTCTATGTGTCAGTCAGGCATCACCAGTCGGCTCCATGTCGGTCTGGGCCTGAGGGCACTTTTCGAACCAGGGACAAGGCCAGGCCCCGCGAATTACATTGGTTGGGCCACTGAGTCAGTGAGGGGCCGCCCGCGTCGGCGAGGGGCCCGCCCCAAGTCGGCTAGGAACAGTGATCAATTGGGCCCGAGCGGTTGTGGATTCAACGACCAAAGGCCCGATTGGCAGGCTGAAGGGCACAGAGGGGCGGCACGGATGGCAGAAGGTCATATTAAGGACTCGCGTCTATGGGGATCTGACCTCAAATGTCAGTCAGAGAGCCTCTTACACTGATAGGAGCCCCTTGGGGCAATGCGGTCTCCCTATTTTGGCCAGATACGCAAAACATTGGGGTCCGTGTAAGTCGGAGGCATGGCCCCATTTCCCATGCGGGGACGACGTGCCCGCGACTTGCATTGGCCAGAGTCCCCGCAACAATGAGGGGGCCTGTGTCAGCCAGGAGCCCACCGTACCTAACGGCCGGTAGTGTGTCGGCAATAGCGCCGAGCTGGCTAGCGGAACATTTGCTGGGCAGGGACGGACTGAACCCCGAGTGCCAGAGGGCCTGTTGAGTTGGTCGTGCCCTCCGACCATGAAAGAAGATATGATCAGTTATAAGGGGAGTTCACAATGAGACAATGGACTGACCCGATGTCAACCAGCGCCCACAGTGTGGAACGGGGGACGCTCCAGCCCATTCTAACTAAGGGCCCATTATGCCGAATTGGAGTATCTATGTCAATTACCGGAACACCTGCGGGAATAAGTGGTCTTGTGATGAAATCATGAAATAATGGCTCTGGCGTCGATCTGGGCCCAACTCCCTGGATCAGAGCCATCAGATCAGATCAGATCAGATCAGATCAGAGCCATCCCTCAATGGTGCAATACGATCCCTGATGGCCGCAGGGATCCACTAACTGGTACACCCACTCTAGTTCTGCTAAACGGCCCCATGACTAAAACTGGTTTGGATGCCCTCCCGTTCGGTATTGAGGGCCGTGACTGACACAGGCCCCTGCCATTATCACAGGCCTACAGAACACCCTGTAGGCACTGTGGGCCCCTGGCAGAAATAGGGACACCACATTGCTCCAGGGGCCCGGACCAATGCAAATCGCGGGTCTGGCCTTGTCCCTGCTTGGGAAATGGGTCTCCAGAGGCTATACCGACACGGAGCTGACTGTTTGGTGTCGGTGTTCCTTGCGTCGAAATAAAACAGCGTGCTGTTCCAGGGGTCCTCAATCGGTGACATGTGAGATCACGGCCCCACAGGTGGGAGCCCTTAAGGTGACCGTTAGCCAGCCCTTTGAGCTCTGTAAGCCTTCAGTCTTCCCATCGGACCATTGATTTTTGGTCTCCAGGGACCCTTCGGCCCTTCTTGGGCGCCACAAGCGCGGCTCCTGGACGACTCGGGGTCACTTGCCGACACGAGACCCGGGTTAGGAACTGTGGACCCCCGACTCACATAGGAGCCCCTCATTGTGTCAGGGGCTCCGAACATTGCAAACCGCGGGTTCCGGCCTTGTTTCTGCTCGGGAAATGGGTGCTCAGGAACCCTGACCGACATGGGGCCGACTGTTGGCTCCGTTTCGAGGCCCTATATAAAAGGTGCTCAGGAACCCTGACCGACATGGGGCCGACTGTTGACTCCACTTCGAGGCCCTATATAATAGGGAAAGAAGGTTCTAATAGAGGCCATGTGTCTGACATCTCAGGTCGCGACACTGCTCGGGGGACTTGGTCCAATCGGGCCCTTAGTCTTTGGTCCTAAGAGCCCTTTCGACCGCTCTTCGGGCCCCCCAAACAAGGCCTGGACCGACTTGGGACCACTTGCCGACACATGGCCACGTGCTAGGCACTGTGGGCCCTGACCGGCAAAGAGGCCTCATTATTTAAGGGACCCAGACAAATGCAAATCGCGGGTCCTGGCCTGACTCCTATTTGGGAAATGGACCCCAGGCTCAGACTGGCACAGAGCCGTTGCTCACAGGAGGGCAGATTTGGGTGCTGTCGGTCTTTGGCCGACATATAGACCTGCATTGCCTTAGGGGATCCTCAACCAATGCAACAGGTCCTATGGTTCATATTTCAGGTCACGACCCTATTGGGCGGGATTATTTATGTGGCCTGCAGCCAGCCGTTTGGGCCCGTATGCCCATCAATCGGGCCCTTGATTTTCGGTTCCAGTGTTTCCGGTCATGATTCCGCTCTTGGCCTCTCTTCGAGCCGCATACAACGGTGTCCCTGGTCAACTCGGGTCTTTTGCCAACACAGAATTTCTGTGAGACACTGTGGGCGTCTGGCAGAAACAGGGGCCTTGACCAGTGTAATTCGCTGGCCCCGGTTTTGTCGCTGCTTGGAAAGTGGGCCCTCAGGTCCATACCAGCCCCGAGCCGACTGTGTGGTAATGGTAGTACCTGAGATTCACATAAGCGCTTATCGTCCCAGGAATCCCCGATCAGTGCAAAGGGCCCTCTGACTGTCATTTGAGGATCCGTCCCCGAGAGCCGGTGACCTTGAACAACCCGCTGACCAACCACTCGTGCCCTCAGGCCCTCCAATCGGACCCTTGATTGTCGGTTCCGTGGGGCCCTCCACGCTCCCTTCGGGCGTCCTCAAACATCACCTCCGACATGGAGCCCTTACCCTGCTAGGTACTGTTCGGCCTGACACACGCAAGAGCCCCGATCCATGTAAGCCGCTGGCCCCGGTGTTGTCTTTTCTTGGCAGATAGGCCCTCAGGCCCATTGCGACACGGAGTCGGCTGCGCGGTACCAGTGGTATCTGACCGACATATAGGCCCTTGTCGACTCAGATTCTCTTGGCCGACACAAATTGCCCTCTGGCTGCCACTCGAGTATGCGACCCTGCGGGCCGGGGCCCCTGAATTCTACTTCCGGCTGGGCTTTGGTGCCCTTCGGGCTTCCAAATGGGGCCTTGAAACTGGGCCCTCAATCGTCAGTCGGCCCCCGGGGACACATGCCCCTTGTGCCCTCCCCCTCCCCGCGCTACTGCTTACGAGCGCACATTTTCAAATCTGTGTACATCATTTTTCCTACCAATCCATTATGGCTGAGTGCTAAATGATTACAGACAAGCATGAGTTGGCTATATTACCTCAAATGTTTGACCCTATTTCGATCTGCACTATTCGTTTACATGGACATTAGTATCTCTTTAAAACCTAGAACAAAATTACAGCAAAGCCCCTGAGTTCTATCGATTTAGAAAGAGTCCAATTCTCCATTGCCAAATGAATTGCTCTGGCGGTTTACTCTGCGTCATTTAACGCCCGTCTCCTTCAACCTATTCGCTTCAAAATGCAGATAGAATTGCGTCTTCAGTAGCTTCTTGGGTCTGTGCCAGTAAGAAACTTAAAATAACAATAAAGTTAACAAAACCCTGTCCTGCGAAATCAATTAAGCCATACCCAGTTACTCTTCTTGAGGCCTTGCATCATCAACGTCCCTTTGTCTACCCTGTGCCCCCCCCCCCCTCCCCCCACTCTCCACCAAGGCTCTGGCTGTGCTCTTGCGTGCACTCGATACTCATTTTTTTCCTAATGGCAATTTTTTTAGTCTACGCTATGGCAGCCGAAGGTAGAGCGCAAAAGTGGCAGCATTTTAGGTATTCCGGATTGACTTCACCTGAAGACGTACTTTTCGGAATCAGTACACGACCCGTTTACGATGGAATAAAGCTGAAAACATTTTTTTAGCTCATTGGCACAAAATCCCGGTGTGGCGAGACAACTGAAATGTAATTTCCTTTTTGTAATTTTCTTTGAAAGCAATTCTACCAACGATCTGTCGCTACAGCAAACCAGATACCAATGCCGGAAATTGCGTGCATTGTCGGCTGCTGACATGTTGTGGCGCTCAGTGGCATATTAGCCACGCTGATGGCCACGTCGAGCCGTCCATGAAGTGTTCGTGCTCCTGTACGGGCCGCGTTCGTGTTCGTGTTCGTGGTCCTGTACGGGCCGGCGCAGTGTCGCGTGACTCGTGTCCGCGGTCGGCGCTTGAGGCGCTGCCGGTGGTCGCTGGCGGTGTATCGTCCGGATGTCGCAGCAGCGTTTGGGCGGGTTCGCAGGTGCTGTGCATCCTCTGCGTGGTGTCGCAGTTCCAAGTGTACTCGGCGTCGCCGTCGGACAGCGCCAACGCCGGCGGACGCTCGGTCAGTGTGGTGCAGCGCCGGCGCCAGCGCTGGCGGAAACTCGGTCATTGTGGTGCAGCGCCGGCGCCAGCGCTGGCGGACAGTCAGTGTGGTGCAGCGCCGGCGCCAGCGCTGGCGGACAGTCAGTGTGGTGCAGCGCTGGCGCCAGCGCTGGCGGACAGTCAGTGTGGTGCAGCGCCGGCGCCAGCGCTGGCGGACAGTCAGTGTGGTGCAGCGCCGGCGCCAGCGCTGGCGGACAGTCAGTGTGGTGCAGCGCTGGCGCCAGCGCTGGCGGACAGTCAGTGTGGTGCAGCGCCGTCATCGTGGTGCAGCGCCGGCGCCAGTACTGGCGGACAGTCAGTGTGGTGCAGCGCCGGCGCCAGCGCTGGCGGACAGTCAGTGTGGTGCAGCGCTGGCGCCAGCACTGGCGGACAGTCAGTGTGGTGCAGCGCCGGCGCCAGCGCTGGCGGACAGTCAGTGTGGTGCAGCGCCGGCGCCAGCGCTGGCGGACAGTCAGTGTGGTGCAGCGCTGGCGCCAGCGCTGGCGGACAGTCAGTGTGGTGCAGCGCCGGCGCCAGCGCTGGCGGACAGTCAGTGTGGTGCAGCGCCGGCGCCAGCGCTGGCGGACACAGTCAGTGTGGTGCAGCGCCAGCGCCAGCGCTGGCGGACACAGTCAGTGTGGTGCAGCGCCGGCGCCAGCGCTGGCGGAAACTCGATCAGTGTGGTGCAGCGCCGGCGCCAGCGCTGGGGGACACAGTCAGTGTGGTGCAGCGCCGGCGCCAGCGCTGGCGGAAACTCGATCAGTGTGGTGCAGCGCCGGCGCCAGCGCTGGGGGACACAGTCAGCGTGGTGCAGCGCCGGCGCCAGCGCTGGCGGACACGTCAGTGTGGTGCAGCGTCGGCGCCGGCGCCGACGGACCCTCGGTCATTTTGGGGCAGCGCCAGCACTGGCGAGCACTCGGCCCAGCGCCGGCGCTCTTGGAGCGGGACAGCCACCGTGGCGCCTCCGTAAGAGGGGTGGGGGAGAGGCCGGCTGTTTCGACGGCGCACGACACCGGCTCCGCTGGTAGGGACCGGCCAGAGAAGAGTCTGCCCACGCCCCGGTGATCCGGGTCCTAAACAGCCTGGCTGGGAGCCTGCGTACAAAACAGTGAACAAATTTGCGCGCCACCTCGATAGAGTAGAAAGCTTGGATTTTGAAAAGTAGCCAAAGGGTTGCCAGTTTAAAACAATTTTTTAGCCTTGTTTCTGTCAAAGGCACTAAGCGGGCACTACCAACTTTCTCGGTTTTATTAAGTGGCAGGTTCTGGTAGCTCGTCTCCGTGTCTTTCAATGACATCCAGCTGACAAAATTATGTTTGGGGAGCTTGCAATTTTAAATCATACCCGGAGAGCGAAATGTGTCCAGATGATTCTTGTTTTATTATATGACATCGGCAAAATGGTGTGTAGCAATTTGCAAAACTTTGTGTGTGCTCATATTAATATAAACATACTTCTGTGTACGTTGTCACGCGCACACACGCACGCACGCATGCATGCATGCATGTACGCACGCACGGATAGACATGTGAATATGACGCATAGAAGCATAAATGGGCCGCACGCTACTTTTGGTGGGTTCTCGGAAACGAGGCCACTTTTTTAACCACGGTGTACGCATTCCCTGCGGCTTGCAAACCCTGAGTGCAGCCAATGACAGCTCCACAGGCAGGTAGGTTTCTTCAGGAGCTAAAAGTACGAGTATGAGTATATCCATATCCGTTGGTATCTATAAGTTAACATGCATGCATAGATTTTATATATATATATATATATATATATATATATATATATATATATACACATATACATACTAAAACTAATAAAACGGAATATTTCGTAACTAATCCTCAGTCATAGTTCCACGCGTAAACTTTCTCATTGGTCTTTCTCTGATCTTATCTCATCTCTTTCATTTGGCCTATAGATTCATAGAGAACATTTCAGAACCCAGAGATTGCGACAGGCTGAAGTTTTCGTGCCAGGAAGGTCATTCGTGAGTGCTTTGAAAGCAAGTCAACCGTCTTTGTTTCCGTCGACGTTTTACGCGTCTTTTTACTTCTGAGTCAAATCAGATCGTGAAAGAACTGCCAACTGAAGTTAAAAAGGCCAGACAATAGAAGGCCCTAGCTGCCTTTTAGCTCCGTTTCGTCGGACTGTTGTTGAAATACGATTGGTGTTTCGGCAAACGTGGCCTTGGCAGTTGACGATAGGAATTTCTCAGTGGATCTTGGCATCCTGGTCGAAGGTGTTAGCCTTGCGGCGTGATAAAATTACGTTTAAAGATGTTTTCGTTGCTGCGCAACCTCGTGTTTTTCTGCAATGTTTTTGAAAGGAATCATGAACAGCTTGACGGGATTAAGTAGTGTAATTGTCAGAAAAACTACCAATTGCATGCAGTAAAGCATTAGTCATTTTTGTGGCCAGCATGGCTACCCACAGTGCGACCGCGTTCCAACCGGCATTACTTTTCAAACATGATTGTCACCTTTCTTGAAACACCCAGAGGAATCCCTTTTCTTCCTGATAAGACGCGCTGGATCGGTGTCTGAGCACATGTCTTTGACGTCACAGACTTCCCCGCGCTATTTTCATCCGATGCTGTATCTCGCCCAGAACAGTGTGCACCATCTCTCATAGTAGCCAATAGTCTGGCAGGGGCATGTTTCGATAATGACGGATCTTTACGACGCTGTCTCTTGCAAAATAGAACCCCTTTAACGGCCCTCGCTGTACGGGGACGTCATTTGGAGTATCCGGACAAAAAGTCAAACGCCGAGAATTCAAATGGCCGCAGGTCAGATAAGATAGTGTCAAATGGCCAAAAGCCAAACAGAATAAAAGTCAAATGACAAAAAGGCGAAATGCCAAGAAGTCAAAATGACGAAAAGTCAAATGCCAAAAAAGCCAAAACCTGAAAGTTACATGCAAAGCGTCAAATAGGCAAAACTAAAAAGGGATCAAATCAAATGGACGAAATTCAAATGTAAAAAGTCAAAAGATATCAATCAAATATGAAATGTCACAGGGATAAAAGCCACAGGGGGTATCCTTGTATCCTTGTCCACTTATATGTACGAGGGGAAAAGACGAGTAAAGAAATATGAGTCAAAATGAAAGACGTGCCTTGGAGCACTGAAGCAAGTAAGCTGATAAAAAGCTCTCGCCTATTGCGCGGAGCGTTTCCAGCTCAATTCAGGGAAGTCCACGGTTTCTGCACAGCTCGAGGCCTGAGCATTTCATTTACATGTCAGCATGGCCCCTTGCACGCCTACAGGGACCCTTTTGCCGTAGATGTAGCCAGTGACGGTGCAAGAGGGAGGGAGCAAGGAGGCAGTCACCCATCCCCATAACTGGGCTAATAGATCCAAATTCGTGTTTCGGACCGTGGCTGCATCACGTCGTAAATGTAACTGAGGCTTCTACACTAAATGTGCCTACTTACAAAGCCCATGGAAAACCGCGTAACTAATCCCATCTCAGTATCTGCCCAAGCAGTTGTTAAAAGTTTATCCCTTTTTCGGACAGGTTGCTGCAACCAGCCGAACATATTTAACAGAAGCTGTTGCTTTTTACGACATAAACCTGTTCAGTCACAGAAGTGTCTGCTTACAAACAACGAGTTCTGTTTACAAATTTGTGTAAGTACCTTACGTTTAATTTTTTTTTTTGGTTTCCTTCGTGGGTGTCAGTAACCCCCAAAATGGGGTTACCAATGCCTTTCCAAAACCCGAGATGACCGAGAAACGTGGCATGCACTTTCTCCAACTTAGAGAGCATAGTGCTTTTCTATGGAGTTGGAACATAGCTTGGTGGTAAACGTATTGTGGGAGTTCCCTTGCCTCCCTCCCGCCGGAGCGCAAAAAAACCCATTAGATAGTCTCACCCAAAATAATTCTCTGTGAGGAAACTCCAGTTTGTGTAGTGTCCGAACTGATCTGAAATCTCTTTCATAGCTCAAAATCTGTGGCACCGCTCGTCGCAGCAATAGTCCTTTATTCACATGGTTTTCTGTGGTTGAAGGGATCTTAAGCGGGCAAAATAAAAGGCATCCCAACGTGTGACCTGGGGTGAAATTTTCTGTTCAGTTGCTGCAGGTAATTACATCGCGAAAAATGGGTTAATACACTTATCCACAAGTGTGGTTTCCTATTCAGGTGAGGGAGGGAGCGTTAGCTTCCCCAACTTGGGCTTCAGTTCCCCGAGCTTTGGAAGAAAGTGGGCCAAATCTGGAGAAAAACCTGTTGAACTATTTTGGAGTGGGTTGGGTCATTTTTCGCCGTTCCCCCTCTCCCCCCCCCCCCCCCCCCGGCACCCCCACTCACAAATTTAATAAACTGCGCCCCAGCACTTTTATCACAGAGGGCCCTTTTTCGATCCAATGCTTGGACACGGTCTATTCTCTTCTGCTAAGTTACAAAACCGATAAATCGCTTATTCCACTGGCTGAGCGTGGTGGGCTCTTCATACCCTCCCCCCCCCCTAGCCCTCACGTGAACGCCTCGCAAAGGCTTTTTGATTTGAAGCCCTCTTAAATTCAGGGAAGATATTTTATAGCTTGTTTTGCTGTCGCCCATTTTACGCCGATCCTTTTCGACTTTTTTATTTGACTTTTTTTTACTTGTATCATGTTTGACTTTCATGCATTGAATTTTTTTCCAGTTTGGCTTTTTGTCTTTAGAAACTTGCATTTTTGACTTATCGTTCGACTTTTTGGCTGTTTGAGTTTTACATTTGGCTTTCGTTATTGACTTTTATGCCATTTGGCTTTTTGTCCTTTTCACTTTTTGGCTCTTTACCCTTTTGCAAAACACTTTTATCCAGTTTGTCCTTTCGCGATTCAACTTTTCCATTTGACTTTTTCTCTGACTTTTTTGGACATTTTTGTCCTTAAGCCGTCACTTGGATGGAGCCTCGATTGGCAACGAGCCAACGTTGACTGTTTCTGCCAGTTGGCGCCTTGTTAGTAGGGAAACACATAAGATCTTCGCTGACGGTCCAGTGAACTATGCGTATGGTAGATCAATGCGTACGTGTAAATGTCACGAACGGGGATATATCCATCATTTTGATCCATGTCATTCCGCGTGCAGTGCCCCTGGTCTTCCTTTGGCACTCCCGATGCTGTTTGGGGTCGGGCCTTCGCTGATCGTCAGTGGTTAGCCTACATCGCATTCGATGTGTACCTTTTTCTGAAGTCCCATATTTGTGAACGTTTCTGCTGGCTTACAATGAATAGCACACTTTTCCGTTCTTTGCACGAAACCAGTGGGCGGAAGAGGAAGCCATTGCTTATTTTAGATGTGAAAGGCATGCCTTTTTATTGCATCACAGGACACTAGCTAATGGCCGCAAGCTGCTAAAGCTATTTCAGTACCTGCCAAAGAAATCGCTCTGAAAACAAATGTCACGTTCATTCCATGATTTATTTTACCAAAATGATATCAACATTATGATATCTCCCATGAACTGCACTTCGTAGACCATGACTTAACATGTCCTATGAAGACCGATGTGAGCCGCGTCCGGCGTTTTCAGTGGAACAGTGCAGAGCACGGAGCACTTTCGCATGTCACGCGAGCATTGCCGTGCTCCTGGCGTGACATCGCGATCGGATGCCGCCGGTGGCGTGCGGCGCTCACCGCCTGCTGCTCGTGTGCTGACAGCCGCCGCTGACCCTGGCCGCGGACCAGTCCACCCAGCCGGGCCTCTCCGCGGCGCCGATCTCCACCTCGGCCGACGCCGACGGCAAGGGGCCGCCGGACGGCGCCACCACCACGCGCGTCTAAAACCCGATGTGAACGGACCGGATGTCTGACACTCCGTTCAGGCGACTATGATCAGGGTCGCATCGGACGGCGGCAACCGCCCGGTGTGAACAGACCGGATGTCCGACACTCCGTTCAGGCGACTATCATCAGGGTCGCATTGGACGGCGGCAAGCGTTTGGTGTGAACGGATCGAATGTCTCGCTGCCGGACAGTGGCTAACATGGTAGGCGCATGAAACTGAAGTCAGACTCCATGAAATGGCGGCTAGTTCTACCTGCAGACAAACCCCAGCTCGCGTTCAATGCTTACCATCAGAAGACGGCTGCTGCTGCGTGTCAGTGGACAGTGAGCAAATTTCTGTTGTTACGCAACGCTGACGCCGGAGGTGCATTGGACCTGAGTTATGCTGCCCGCCTTGCTTCGGGCGGGCTGTCAGACTTCCCCAGGCCGTTCGGCCTTAGTTCGTCACAGCTTACGTTAGGCAGCAGGTTTGTCACAGCTGAGGTCAGTCGTACACTGGCTGGTCCGGGAGCGTTCCCCTGCTCGCTCTAGAGTGGTTAACTTAATGACGGCTATGAACTCCGAGGTCGTGCAAGCGCGGTTCGCTGGAAGCGGTCACAAGGTACGTCAGTATAGCATCGAACATGAACCACACCATTCGAAAGCTGGACATTCCTCACGTCATGTGTATGCTCCATTTTCAAATTTTGTGATCCTAATATTTGTAACATTGTTTGGAGATTGCGATTGACGTTGCCTGTGTCTACGGTCCGTAAATAAATGAGTGTTGATACGAAGTTTTAAATTTTGAACTCACTGATTCACGTTTGTAGGGGCTTTTGAACTAAAATAGCCATCTTGGAGATCTTCCGGTGCGGTTTAAAGCGCCCCCTTTTCAAAACCTCAATAGCTTTAGTTTCTGAGCGTCACGCCCACATCGTGTGCAGGCTATTTTGAGGAGATTCTTTCAAGGTCACACAGACATCCATAACGTCATAATGACGTCATTCACATCGTGCTATTCCATCAGTCATGCGGAGATCAAGGTCAACTTAAATATATAAAACAACGAAAGGCGAACGACCCGACAACATTTGCGTGGGGGCGTTCATATCTGGCGTTCGTCACCAGGATTTTCAGGTATAACGGCCTTTCTTTGACCTCAAATGCACGTTTTGCAAGGTACGATGACGTAAGCAAACGATGACGTTTTGAAGAGCATATCTACTCAGTATTGAAATTGTGTTTTCACAGCAGCCTTTCCAGTTAAAAGTGTATCAGTAGTTATGAGCGATATTACCAATACATTTGATGCTTGCTCCAATGTCTTCAAATGTGGAACATGTCCTTCCATACTGTTTCTCTGACATTTCATTTTTCAGGCGTGAATTTGGCGGCATTTGTTGCATTTATGTTTGTAATTTCCCTGCAAAATATCTGATTGCGTGGTTGCCGAAATAATAGATAATATCACAGTTCGTTGAAAGTCGTGACCCCTCGCGACAAATGCTGCATTTGAGGTTCGCCCGGTCTTGGCGACGATCTCGGTCGGCTGAAATACGGGCCTTCACCGGTAGGATTTCATTTAGCTAACCCACACGCTACCTGTGAGGCTGTGCCCAAACCCATCCACCGCCCATTTCTAACCAGCCGATAGATTACCCGTTACCCGCGCGTTGTTCGTGTTTCCCCAGCGCCTTGGCTATAGCTAAGGGAGAACTTTCAGGGAATTTCACACCCAAACTTGGGTGCTTGTCTTGATAGTTGCAAATGTGGTGTGGATGAAGCTAATAAAGACTAAAAGAAATACGAGCCCAAAGGGCACGACCACGAGCCCAATATTGTGTAGAATCCATGGAAGGACTTATTCCACATTTCGTATGCATCTCAACCACATCCGTCCCCACGTTCGCACTTCTCCCCAACCGGTCCCCAACCCAACCCGTTAACTATTCCGTATAGGTGCCCAAAGTTTATATGATATTGGAGATCTCTTATCAGACAGTCATGAAGGTAAAAATGCACCAAGATAAGCTAGCGTATGTTTGCGGAGTATGATGTGGATGATTTCACACCAAATAAGGTGACAAAATAATAAAAACCGATTGAAAACAACGGGCTGTTTGTTGTCCTCGTGCCACCAAACGTAGCAGAATGCAAAATGCCAGACAATAAAATGCACTACGCGCGTGCACATTAAACAATATACATATGCCTTGACGTTCTCGACGAATGGCACACTAAGAAAGGAAATCTCAAAAATTTCCGATAAACCAATGCTGTCCCAGGCCCACCCAAGCTTCAAATGATCAAAGAGACATGGCCGACCGGACGGAATCGAGTGCGGGTGTCGGGCGTTGTCCGCCGAGGCCGAGCTTGCGGCGAGCTCTTTAACCTAGCTCAAAAGCCGCGCACTGCTGACCCGCAACGGCATCAGCACTACTGCAGGATGAGCCGGGAGAGGTTGGAGGTCCTACTAACTCAAATCGGGCTGACCATAACTTGGCAATCCACCAGTTTTCGCGAGCCGATCGGAGCCGCTCACCGCCCTGGCCGTCGCGCCGAGCTATCTCGCCTCCGGCATGGAGTTCGCGGCCCTGGCGCCAACATGCCGTCCAGGTGAGATGACCTAGCGAACGATCGTGTCGGGCAACCGCGCTGCCATCATGTCAGTTGTTGGGCCCGAGGTCTTTGCTCGCTAACTCGCGAGATGCGGGCGCAGAGCGGGGCAGCTCTCCCAGAAAAGTGGGATTCACCAAACTGCCGTGCAGCGCTCGACGGAATACGGGTCGTAATGCAAGTTGCAGCGGCACATAATGGCAGTGAGCATAAGGACGAGCTCGAAATAGCAGCCTAGCCGGCGATGGGGTACGGCAACTGCCGATTCGTGTGCATATCACCAGGATGTGTTGGTATACATTTCTCTACTTTGCATCTTCGCACACCGTCCGTCCTGGATCGGTAAGCTTTCCGACTGAACGTGAGACAGCAAGCGAGAAATAAGACCATTAGGACAAAAGGAGCCAGAGAAGTCAAGATCCACCAAAACCCGCGCCTCGTCGCCCCGCAAATGTAGGAGGGCACCCCTCATGAACAAATCGCAGGATAGGAACGACACCCGAAAGGCGACACGACGCGACAACTGGCTATCCTTGCAGGGCTTCACAGGGCAGAGGCGTGTTTTTCAGTTTCAGAACGCCACTTCAAAAAGAACGTCTGCCACCGGCTGGCCAGAAAAGACTGACACAGAGGGTCAATACGCACCCGGCATTTGAGCGTTCGGACTGTCGGCTAGGGTGTGCGATGGGAGCTCGGTCTGCATTTCACTGTGGCTGCGGTCTATCGGCCCTCGCGCGGCGCCGTGACTGCGCTCCAGACGGACTTCAGCCAGCTGGAGCTGCAATATCAGCGAGGACTTCTACAGCACCTGGGCCAATCGCCATCATGGGTGATTTAAATTGTGATTTATTTACTGGACCCTGCTTGTTACGCTGCAAAGGACCGGTTAAATGACATGCCCCGATCGTTTCATCTGCGCCAGTCTGTCAGAGTTCACTTTTTTCCGGATCGCTTTAAGATGTGGTCATTTCTAATTTAGATAACGTAGTTCAGCGTATTGGAGCTCTTCACTGCGCTTTTAGCCCTCACCATTTTGTTTGCACGCTTTTAGTTTTGCCAAAGTGCCGTGTTAAGCCTCTCCGCATCCACTCGAATGTTGAAACGGATTGACCATGTTTGTTTGCTTCGTGATTTGTACCAAGTCGGCTGGTCCGGTGCTTTTAGGTGTCCATTAGTCGCTGATATCAGACAATTAAGCAGGTTCTACCTGCTTGATTGTCTGATATCAACCATCGACAAACACGCTCGGGTCAAACAAATGTCAGCGAGGAATGAAAGGCGCACCAGCTGTCACCCCGGTGACACTAGCCATCATGGCACAGCGGAGGGGTGTGTTGCGTCGCGAGGGGAGATCGCTGGCTTTCCGCAAACTGGACCGGAGGGTGAGATCGGCGATCAGGCGTGACTGCCGGGCGGATATTGAGGAGAAGCTGTGTGAGCGGGGTAGAATGAGACTGTCCTCTGTACCGCATTATTCGCCCGCTGTTAGCGAGAAAAAGAGCAGTGCTCGTAACCCCTCAGTCGCGACCCTGGGCGAGATGAATGATTGTTTTGTCAATGCCGGCCCCGTGTTGTAGCCAACCTGGCTGGTCTGGGAAAGCCACCTTAGATACCATGTCGCCTGCCCAAGGTAGACACTTGCGGTTTCCGGGTGGTTGACACGATCCTTGGCGGGCTACACGAGGTCATGTTCTCCGTGAAGCGTTCGGGGGCGTGTGAATCTGATGGCGTTTGTATTCTTATCCTACTCCTTTATTTTTTAGTCATCGGCCCTCCCCTCCATATTCCCAATACATGCCCCACCTAATGCGATTTTTCCGACTCCTTGAATCACTCCCTAGTTTATCTTTTTTCAAATCCGGCGATTCAACCCAGGTCTCCAATTATCGTCCGATGTCTATAGCTCCTATCATGGCCAAGATTGTCGAGCGTGCGGTGCAGCGCCAGGTGTTCATCAACATGTCCCACAATCATCTTCTGTCCTGATCCCTACATGGTTCTCGTCCCCGCTATTCCACTGAGACTGCTCTGCTCACTGCAGCCAACCGCATCTTTTAAAACATGGATCGTGGTCACCTTTCACCTCTGTGCTCCTTGGATCTTAGCAAATGTCTCGACGTCATTCTTCACTTTCACTTCTGTGCCCCTTGGGTCTTTGTGAATTTTTCGACGCCATTCCTCATGCTCAACTACTTTCCAGGCTCCAGCTCTATAACGATGACCCGGCTTGGTAACATCGGGCAGCGGAAGGGCACTCGCGCCCGGTATGGTGACAGGGAAAATTGCGACACTAATCCCCTGATTTTTAAGAAGACATGACTGCTTAAAATTTGCACTCGTTTTAAGGAAGGCCTCAAGCTTCATGTTTCAAGCAAGCTCAGAGCCAATCAGTACAGAAAGTTGGAAATAAAGCGGTCTGACATTGCTGTGATCTAAGCAAGTGCTACGATATGTCGCGTGATTCGTTTTGACTTGGACGATCGCATGCCCATTGTCAGACCTTATTCAGTGTCAGTAGTGTGAACCGCAGCTGCAGTCGGGCCATTGTCAGATGGACCTCGATGAGAACAAGATACATACCAGTGAGAGGCTGGTGGTATGGAAATTATGAAGGGATGCAATGCTTACTTATTAACTGGACATGTTAGGGCCAGTAAAATGTTAATGCTCCCTTACGTCTGGCTTCTATATGTTTGCAGGTGAAGAAATCGGAATGTGCAGCTCAGACAATAAAATGAAGTAAATGTTGCACTCCAGGTGCCAAGATATAAGAAATACGTGACGCATGGACGTAGGAACAGGGCGTAGGCCAGGGGCAATGCTCTCCCCCCTACACTTTTCAAGGTGGGGGAGGGGGGAAGCCAGCAGTATTAACTGGCTCTCCCACTTTTTAAATTAAGATTTTGTTTAGCTTACTTTTCCACCACATTTAAATACGAATGCCGATGTATCTAGTTCACCAGCCATCTTCTTCATCATGCATAATCTTTTTCCTCTGTTTATTGGAACATCACTTAGTGTCACAGCCGCAGGGCGACGCCACGCGGCCTACGGAGACTGCAACGCTGGGCGTTCAGGCTGTTGTTGCTATGACTTGCGAGCGCGTACGTTCAAAACCATATTACATAGCTTTTTATCAGTAATCAATTCTGACTGA